CGCCTTTCGAATGAAGGCCACAATGTCAGTTGTTAAGGACCTCCTAATGTCGGAAGGTGCTAGCAATTCCCGACCCAGTGATCTCCTCCTTGCCCAGATCAAAGCTGGGCAGTCACATAGAATGTGGCTAGTTGTCTCCTCTGCTTCCAAGCAGAGTCTACAATCTATCTCTTCGGATAGGCCCATTTTGTTGAGGTGGTAACGTAGCCCATGGTGACCCGTTAGATATCTCACTAGCAACCTCAACTCTGTTCTGCTAAAGGAGGATGTCTTATTATAACTATAGGGGAGAACCAGCTCTTTAGCCTGACGGTTGAGATCCAATTATTGATTAGAGACCCAGTTATAGACCAACTTAATCCACAAAAAGGTTCTGGGCCACAGATTATAGTGGCGGATCCTGCCCGTGCAAGACTGTCGGCAGACTCATTACCATTAATTCCTGTGTGACCAGGCACCCAGCACTGTGTTACTTTATTATTGCTTGCCAGCTGCTGCAGTGTGTCATAGCAGTCTGCTAGAAGTTTTGAGAAAAACTTCCAGGAGCATAACGCTTTGATTGCTGCTTGACTATCTGAATAAATACAGATTCGGGCGCCTTACAACCCCTTGTTAATATTGATACGAGCGCAGATCTCGATGGCGTGAACCTCAGCTTGGAAGACAGTGGGCCATATACCCAGCGCGAGCGAGATTCTGGTGTTTGGACCAAATATTCCAGCACCAACTCCTTCTTTGGTTTTCGAACCATCAGTATACCACGATAACACTTTTGGTTCGAGTCCAGGAGTGCCATTTACCCAGTTCAATCGATCGGGTATGAGGACTTCGAACTCCCTACCGAAGCGAAGTTCCATGTTCATGCGATCTGTCCTGTCGCAGATCTCTATGCCAGGAAAGAGTCTGCAGATAGATTTTTGACTGATGAGACTTCCGTGCATGTTGATAACAGGGCGTAGCCTAGCTGCACTCAATTCTGCTGTCTTTTTAATAAAGAGGTGCAGAGGGGTGAGACCCACTATGGACTCCAGTGCTGATGTGGGACATGTTCGAATAGTTCCCGTCATAGCGACGCATACGAGTCTTTGCAGTTTATTGCATTTGACTATTGCAGCATTTTGTTGCGCTTTATTCCACCAAACAAGATCTGCGTAGGATACAATGGGTGATGATATAATTCTAGGACTTATGCCCCAGGTTCTACCATATGAGGTCCTATATGTCCACATGACATGTGATTA